GCCTGCTCTGTTCAGATTGGCCTGTATGAAGTTTTAATTAGAAAGAGCAAGTCTGTAGGAAAATAACTCCTGTTGTATGTAGAAAACATATACCCTGCAATTCATAAACACTGAATTTGACTCATGCTGCGCCACTTTTAGAATGCAGATCAAATCTGTCAGTTTGCCTCTCTGTAGACCAAAAGAGACTTGATCTGAATTAGCTTCACTTTTGAATTTTTCACATTCAATGTGACACAATCTAGAAATTGAGCATTCATTAAGACACAATGTGAAAGTGAACTACCTGAACTTGGTCCTCAAGTCACTGTCAAAACCAAAAGTGTTGCAAATCCTTCATGAATTTGGCACAATACAGTAACACGAAGGATTAACGGTAGAAAAGTTGCACAGTAGCTTTATTAAATTCCCCCTATAGTGCTCTGAGAATTCTGTGTCATGAGACCATTCTTTATTGAATGTGTATTTGTAAAATAAAAATTTTTATATTGTAAAACAAAAAAATATATAAACCATCAATTTAGAAACCTATAAATGTTAAATATAATTGCGCCAAAATCAATAAATTATCCCCCTAATATTCATGCCTAATTGAGCTACTAGTGATTCAATTATTCTAGTATTATGCCATACAGTATACATTGTATATGTGGAGTTACACCCCAAAATACATTCTGCTACTTCTACCGAGTATGGGGATACCACATGTGTGAGACTTTTTGGGAGCCTAGCCACATACAGGAGCCTGAAATCCAATGACCACTTTGAAAGCCTGTAAGGGTACGTAACTTCCTCATTACACTTCCTCACTACCTAACACAGTTTTGAAGGCCCTGACATGCCAGGATAGCACCAAACCCCCCCAAATGACCCCTTTCTGGAACGTAGACACCCCAAGGAATTTAAAAAGAGGCATGGTGAGTATTTTGAAGATCTAGTTTTTTCTCACAAGGTTTTGAAATAAAAAAAAAAGAATAGAAAAAATGTTTTTGTTTTTTTTTTTTTCATTTTTCAAAAACTTGTGGCAACAAATGAGATCTGCAAAATACTCACCATGCTTCTTATCAAATTCCTTGGGGTGTCTACTTTTCAAAAGGGGTCATTTGGGGGGGGTTAGGTGCTATCCTGGCATTTCAGGGCCTCCGAAACTGTGATAGGTAGTCTGGAAGTGTAATGAGGAAATAAAGCCCTTTAAAAGCCTGAAGGTGCTTATTGGACTTTGGGGTCCTGTACTTGGTTAGACTGCCAAAATGTCTCTCACATGCGGTACCCCCATACTTGGGAGAAGTAGCAGAATGTATTTTGGGGAGTAATTCCACATATACCCATGACATGTGTGAGCAATAAATCATTAAAATGACAATTTTGTGTAAAAAAAATATTTTTTTTTTTTCCTTTTCCATAAACTTGTGGTAAAAAAATAAATTCTTCTATTGATTCAACATGCCTCTCAGCAAATAGATTGGGGTGTATACTTTACAAAAAGGGGTCGTTTTGGGGGGTGGGGGTGTTTTATGCCCAGCATTAGAAGTTTTTATGCCACACATCATTCACTCTTCTAACCACCTGAAGATCAAACCTTTTCTTACACTTTTTGTTCACATGAAAAAAAAATCAGTATTTTGTGCTAGTAATTTAAACCCCCGAACATTATATATTTTTTTAAGAATAAAATGGTGGGTACTTCAAGTTTTTATGGCACATAGTACTCGCGCAGCGATTTTTCAAAAGCAAATTTTTTTTTTTTTTAAATACACTTTTTTTTACTTTTAATGCACAAAAACACAATATATATTGGCCAATTATTTGGTACAATATAAAAGATAATGGTATCTTTACCAAAAACATGACATGCTTTAAAACTGCACATGCCCCTGTGCAATGGCAACAAACTGCATACATTTTTAATATCCATAGGCAACGCTTTAAAAGCCTTTAAAAGCTACCATTTTAGATTTACAGAGGAGGTCTAGTGTTAGAATTACTGCCCTTGATCTGACGTTCACAGCGATACCTCACGTGCATTGTGCAACCACTGTTTACATACCAGCACAGGGTCAAAGCTTGTGCACACAGGTGTGCACGCATGGGAGGGGCGCGAGTTTTTTATTTATTTATTTTTTTTAAGTTATTTTGTTTTTTTATTATTTTTACACTGTACCTTTCATTTTTTTTAATCACTTTTAATGCTATCACAGGGAATGCAAATATCCCCTATAACTTCAATGGGCATTGTCATATATTCTTTTTTGAGAAATCTGGGGTCTATCAGACTCTGGATATCTCCTCTGCCCTTACATTATCTAATCAAACCAAAATCAGTCTAATCAGATGCTTTCACAATTTACAAATGGCGCTGTTTATATCCTGCGAAACTGAAGTGATGAAATGCTCGTAGCTTCCAAATTCATAGACTATAGAGATGATTGGCACTACTCTGGTCTCCAATCAGCTCTATGGTCAGCTGGCAGAAACACTGGCTGCATTCTCAGGTTCCCCCGATGTCACTGGACTGCCCTGGAAGGCAGCGGAGGAGGGGGTCATCATCTCCCGCTGCTTGTAAAAGCAATCCTGCAGCTAATTAGCCACTAGGATTGCTTTTACATGAAAGACGATCACCGCCTGAAAAAAAACAATACCAGGATGATGCCTGCAGCTGTAGGCATCACCCTGGTATAACCATTCAACGTTCAGTGATGTACCAGTACATCGCTGGTCCTTGTTAGGTATATATGCTATGTTCATTTTTTTTTTTTTTGCATGCAGCCTGTGGACTGAATGAAAAAAAGAGAAGAAATCTCTGCCAGAAAAAGTGTGTGGTAAGCCCACCATTAGAATATACTGCCCTGCATCCACCCACTTCTAATGGTGGGCACACATTAGGTCACACTTTGCCACATGCGCCAGTTCCAAGATTGAAGAAATGTCCATGTATAAACGGTACCCCATATGGAAAAAAAGTATGGATGCCACCAAGTCCCAAACGATCTTGCAACTGCTCCCCATGTAGTCTGGGCATCTGGGGGCTCAACGTGACTATCTTTTCCCTCATAAATCCAAAACTTCTAAGTATAGTTTGTTGTCCTTTCACAGGTCTTCTACATCTTGACCCATATCTGGCATATCTGGCATACTTAGTTAAAATTAATGAGGGACTCATCAACGCAGATGTTTTGCTGGGGAGTATAGACATCTGCAAATTTTTGGTTAAGGTGATTTATGAGGGGCTGAATTTTTTGGAGCCAATCAAATTCAGGGTCACCCCGAGGATGAAAGAGTGTATTGTCGTTTAAATGTATAAAAAACAGTATACTCTCATATCTTGGTGGTTGCGGGACAATACTTGTGCTCGGAGCCGCATTAGCTTGTACTGTACTTATGCGACTCACCACGTCACCAAGTCATACTGCAGTCTGGTATTATTATTATACAGGATTTATGGCGCCAACAGTTTGCTCAGCGCTACAATGTAACGGGAGACAATACAGAACAATACAGTTCAATACAAGAGGGTTAGAAGGGCCTGATCCTGGGAGCTTACAATCTAAGAGATATGTGAAAGACCAGGATGTACTAAGCCACTAGTACTCGCCAGTTCACCAAAAGGTAGCGTGGCACTAGTACTGGCACTCTGCTGCATATGAAAGTCATCAAAATTTACTGACAAGTGCTAACAGAGATCAGGCCTGATTCTGCCAACACTGCAGTTTTGTGTGCAATGTATCAAGTGACAGTGACCTACTGACACTGCACTTGCTGGGGGAAGGGGGAGTAAGCGTAAGGGCTAAACGCAGGTGCTGGCAGGTGCGGGGGCTGATCCCGCTAACGCTGCATTTTTGGGGATGCTATACTAATGTGAACGCTGGTATAGTGCTGATCTGATCAAAGATATTGATCCGTTCAGTCACTATACTAGCAATGGAGGTTTATTGTGTATGAGCATCTTCCTGGCAGTCAAGGGGTTAAATGTGATGACTGGTGTACTGACGGGCAATATGACGCTATCTGGGAGGGGCGTGAACACCGCGGGAGTGCGAATCACGTATATATATATATATATATGATTTTGCGCACCAATGCGATCGGCGGCACGGGTAGGGCGGTCGTGCGCCTAGCGAGCGCCCCCTACCTGTTTTGCTAAATGACGTTTTAAAACATCGTGTAGCACAGCGGTGCTGCCCTGCCGCAGTATATACACTGGCTGGTAGGCAAGCGGTTAAAGGGCTAAAAGAATTAATTCATTTCTTAAAGTCACTTTCAACACAGAAAGCAGAAACTGATCCACTGATGCATACTTAAGAGCTGGATATTTATATTTCAATATGTTTATTAGGATTTTTACAAACATTATACAAACAGACAGGAAACGCAACCCACCAGCATGATGAGTTGTAGAACATCAAGCAATGAAACAGTATATTCAAGTACAATGTGTAGCAACACAACAACAAAATCGACCAATAATGCGTATGAGAGGAATACACTAGTAGCATATTAAGATTTTGATCGATTATGAGCAAAATACACCATAAACAGAGTTGTACAAATAATATAATTAACATAGTAGACAAGAGTAGAGAGAACGAAAAGTGAGGAAAGAACTGAGGAAGAAAAATAAAGAATAGAACCAGAGCTGGATATTTAAATGGCCCTCTTCTGTCATACAGTTCTTTTATTACTAAGCAGATTTCTGGCAACACTAACACCCGCTGTAAAGGCCTGTTTTAAAAATTAACAATGAACAGAGATGGTGTGACTAAAATAATTTTAGCCTCGTGTGTACTGGATGTGCATTGACTTCTTTCTGCACAAGTCTCCAAGTATGACTCTTATGTCAGATGTTTGCGGCTGGAACAAGTTCTTGGGTACTCATAAATATGATATAGAGGCATCAACTACCTAGTTATGCAGTGCGGACAATATATTAATAAAAATGTCATTATAAAAACTCTAAATAAGGTTGGTAAGGATTGTGATGATCATTTTTACTACTGTTTCAGGCATCAAAGCAGAAATTAGAAGATAAAGACTCCAAGAATAAAGCAGAGGGGAAAAAAACAAAGGGGAAAAAAGAAGACACTACAGATACAGAAGAAAAATCCCAAGGTAAACAAAGAATGAAGAAATGTAAACATAGAATACCCCATTATTAGAATAAAAATAGATTAAAACATCCATATATGTTGATGGTTTACTAGGCTTGTATGAAAACACTTTAATTGTAGTAAGCATCAAAGTAGATTTGGACTATTGTTATCTTGCACCATAAATTAATTGCTTTGATACAAAATTGTTTTGTGTTTTCCCGTGGTCATCTTCACATATTGAGGTTGAACCTAAAGACAGATAGGATAAATCTTAGTTAAACTATGCCAATTAAAATCTGGCAAATTAAGCAATGTAAATAAATTTAACAAAGTGACCATTGGTCCAAAGAAAAAAATCTGAGGTTGTACAGAGTTTGCCCCTTTAACAAGTGTTTTTTAAATTGAGTTTACTATAGGAGGATTTTCAGAAGCCACAAAATAACTGCATATGGTTTATGAACTTCAGTCTATGAATGAGTCTTTACCATGGTGGCAGTCAAAAAGAACAGTACTATACATAGTGCACTGTATGGCCATAATCTCTCTGATTGTGCACTACAGTATACAATATAACAAAGCATTTATATTCTTTACATTTGTAATTCAAGTAATCAAAAAAGTAAAAAAGAAGAAAGAAGAAGATAACAAAGAGAAAGAAGTAAAGAAGAAGTCTAAAGATTCAACAGGTGGAAAAAAGGAGACAGCATTATCACACTTCAGTGCCACAAAAACTTCCAAACAAAAGCCAGGTGAGATTTGTTTTTACAAATAATTATGGCATATGATATAGGATTTAATAAAAATAGTATTACCTAGTACTTTGTTCCACATCAATAGCAAGCATTTTATAGATGTGAAATTTCTAAAAAGTTATTATTAACTAAAAGTATATTGCAAAATATTATTGCAGGTTTTCATGTCTTTTAGAATACTGACTTCAATCTATTACTCTAATTATATATAAGTAGGGATGATGTTTCAGTTTATCGCTACCATGGGTTCACGGCACAGTGCCTTAGATTCACAAAGTCTGCAAATGATAAACTTTTGGCTGAGAGTTTTGCACATTTGCTACCAGAAATAAAAATAAGTATGCAGCGCTAAATGAAACAATAAACAGATATTGCTCTTAAACTTCAAATACATGCAAACTTGTGTGAGCACCAGGGGCGGACTGACAACTCATGGGGACCCTGGGCAATAGGGGATCATGGGGCCCCTGTGTCCTTGCCCAAACTCAAAAAAGCCTATGAAAAAGGTACCAGGGGCAAACCATGGGGCCCCCTACTGACCCTGGGCCCTCGGGCAGTGCCGAGTTTCCAAATGGTCAGTCCGCCCCTGGTGAGCACTAATAGTAGTGCCAAAAAAAGTGCAGTGATGTCCACATTTTATTAAAACGTTGCTATTAAAGATTTTATAACCAAAGCGGTGGTGGTAAGTCAATATAACATAACATAAGTCAATATAACATAGGATAAATAGATCAGAAACAGTGCTCGGTGTTCCGTAACTTCAATGGCTGTTGTCAAAATCCGGTACAATAATGCATTTACCAGAAGTACATATAATAAAAGCATTATATGTATAGCATATATGTAGTAACATCAGGGTCTGGTCTATGGTTGCGGTAACATCTGGCTCTATGGTAGACACTCAGGGATGAAACGACTCACACTCGGGGGTCACCTCAGGCTCACTGGTTCGTCCAGACCAGTTCAAAACCCTTGTAGCACTTATCCAAATGGCTCCACCTTGTGAGGCTCGCAAAAAAACGAGCCAGCGGGCAAAATGGTGCTAATAGTGTAGTATGTTTATTAACATGAAAGGTAGAACCAAAAAAGAACAGTTAAAAGAACTCACATGCAATAACAGATGGCCGCCAGGCCTTCCTCATAGCGTGCATATGCACGTTATCAAAGGGGTAGAAGCCACTCAGAGGACGCCAGTTAAATACAGAAAAACAGAAAAACGTGCATACGCAGGCACTGTTGTGTGCCACTCAGGGTGACGGGCGCATGCACGGGGGAAACGTCATACACCGCACTATGCAACACCTAGTGCGCATGCACGAGTGTGTCACTTGCTGCATCACACGGGACAGCGGGCGCTCGCATTGGTTTAAAACATCAACGTCATACCCATTCTCTGTAAACCTGGTTCTAAGCGCAACAGCTTGACTCTGACAGTCAGACAGCCGCCCACTTTGACTCACATTGGCCCCCAATGTGGTTGACCCACCTAAGAATATGACTTCATCCTTTGGTCTCAATGGATTTTATCCATGTAATAAGTGTATAGCTTGTCGGTTCAACGGCTCCCATAAGGGTAAAGTGAGAGAGTTTAAATAAAATATAACGGGTAAAAGCTATAAAATACATCCACTTATCACATGTAACAGTACACACACGGTCTACTTATTGGAATGCCCTTGCAAGCTGCAATATGTGGGTAGAACCACAAGACGTCTGAGGGATCGTCTAAGGGAGCATTACAATAATATTAAGAAAGGTTTTAGAGACCATTCGCTCTCCAAGAACTTTAGGGATCACCATACTAAAGATCCGACACACTTGAAATTTACAGCTAATGACGTGATCACACAACATTGGAGAGGGGTACACAAAAAAAGAGCAGTATCCCAACTTGAAACGAAATGGATTGTGGAATTAAAATCTTTGTCCCCCCAGGGCTTTAATGTAGACCTTGATATTAATTGGTTTATTGACAATAGTTGATTCCTTTTTATCCTATCCTTTTTACTCTATCCTATTTATATTGTTTTTTACTTTATTTTAATGTTATATCCAATTAGGGTGGGGTTTTATTGGTTGTTTTTTAGACTGTTGTTGTTGTAAGTCTCATTACCCAGTGAATAATGAGGGCTCTACTTGTGTTAGTCCAAACCACACTATTCACGTACCAACATATATAAATGTTTTTATGGTATCGCTGATTCTATTTTATCCCTAGAGGTCTTATAACATTTTATATTATTATTTTTGTATCGCTGATTTTATTTTATGGTATCGCTGACTTTATTTTATCCCTAGAGGTCTTATAACATTTTATATTATTATTTTTTTTATTACCTTCTTTTGATTACCATACTCACGGACTTTTTATGTATTGATATATTTTTATATATACATTGATGTTTACTGTAACTATATATTCTCTGATTCATTTAGTTTTTATAATGCAATTTTATATTGCTATTTGTTTGCTTTTTTATATGAAACGGTTTCTTTTACTCACATTGTTTTTATGGTCAATATTTATCAATTTTCTTATTTTCCACATTTACAAACCAAATAAGTATGTTAAATGATTACTCCTTTTACTGTTCACAGTTTAGGTGCACCCATACTTTAACCCCGCAGAAGTCAGTGACTTGGTGTATGGCTCTCTCCTGACCCAAGTTTCTATTTCATTTATGATAGGACTACAATAAAAAGGAGTAATTTTTTCTCTTATTAGAGACATGTTTAAGACTCAATTTACATGCCTCGTTTCTGAACTTTATAATGTTAGTACCATCTATTCATCTGTAACGTTACTTCTATTTAGGATGTTTGACCCATTTTTATTTGGCAATATAAATGTGGAAAATCGATACTCATCCTTCAGATCTCCAGCAATTGGGTGACGTGCTTTAATTATGCTGTTTCCGTCTGCGCAAGCATGCGCACTAGCAGGCTGTGACGTGGCGATGCGAGCGCGCGCTGTCCGCTGTGATGCGGCAAGTGACGCGCTCGTGCATGCGCACTAGGTGCCGCATAGTGCAGTGTATGACATTTCCCGCGCATGCGCCGGTCACCCTGAGCAGCGTGCGACAGCACCTGCGCATGTGCGTTTTTCAGTTTTTTCTGTATTTAACTGGCGTCCTCTGAGTGGCTTCTACCCCTTTGATAATGTGCAGGATGCACAAAACATGTCAGGGGAATCCACCAGACTGACACCCAAGCCGCAAATTAGCCTATGAGGAAGGCCTGGCGGCCATCTATTATTGCATGTGAGTTCTTTTAACTGTTCCTTTTTGGATCTACCTTTCATGTTAATAAACATACTACACTATTAGCACCATTTTGCCCCCTGGCTCGTTTTTTGCGAGCCTCACAAGGTGGAGCCATTTGGATAAGTGCTACAAGGGTTTTGAGCTGGTCTGGACGAACTGGTGAGCCTGAGGTGACCCCTGAGTGTGAGTCGTTTCATCCCCGAGTGAGCCAGATGTTACCGCAACCATAGACCAGACCCTGATGTTACTACATATATGCTATACATATAATGCTTTTATTATATGTACTTCTGGTAACTGCATTATTGCACCGGATTTTCACAACAGCAATTGAAGTCCCGGAACACCGAGCACTGTTTCTGATCTATTTATCCTTATGTTATATTGACTTACCACCACCGCCACTTTGGTTATAACATCTTTAATAGCAACGTTTTAATAAAACGTGAACATCACTGCACTTTTTTTTGGCACTACTATTAGTGCTCACACAAGTTTGCATTTATTTGAAGTTTAAGAGCAATATCTGTTTATATTGTTTCATTTAGCGCTGCATACTTTTTTTTTTTTTTTTTCGAATTTCACACCATTGGTGGGCCACAGCAACAGCCAATTTTCGAGCAACCATTGAATTTGAGTGATCGGGCATGTTGGAAACTTTTTGAAAAACAAATTTCTAATTAATGATGGGAGAATTGCGCGAGAAATGTAATTGAAAAAGAAATGAGCATGAGCCGTAACCTGAAAAGAAAAGAAAATTCTTGGCCACGAAAATTCTTTTCTGTAACAACATGAGGTGAAATGAAAGGCTTAGTTGGTTGAATCAATGGTGGCAATGATTACAAAACGCATGAAATTTCCGATTTTATAAGGAAAATTTGTTAAGAATTCGACCCATGGATTGCCTCGTTAAGGAACATCCTACAGTATAATGTTGTGTATAGCCTGAGCTCCTGGTTAGCTCAATCACAGGAGCCAATAATTTGACAATGCATAACCCAGGTCCCTTTCTATATAGGTGTGGGCTCACAACAGATATATTATCAATGTGTGCTGTTAGCTTCCTGTGCCTTTTGTTTGACAATAGCTTGATTATTAGCCATACAGATGTCCAGAATTGAATAACTGAATATATTTCAGTGGGGCTTGCTGCAAATTCATTCAGGCAAAATTTGCTAAATTGTTTATGAACTTAACCCAAGCAAATTCGCTCATCCAGAAAGTATTCACAGCGCTTAACTTTTGCCACATTTTGTTATGTTACAGCCTTATTCCAAAATGGATTAAATTAATTTTTTTCTTCAACATTCTACAAACAATATCCCATAATGACAACATGAAAGAAGTTCATTTTGAATTTTTTGCAATTTATTAAAAATAAAAAATGAAAAAAAAAAAACACATGTACATAAGTATTCACAGCCTTTGCCATGACACTCAAAATTGAGCTCTGGTGCATCCTGTTCCCACTGATCATCCTTGAGATGTTTCCACAACTTGATTGGAGTCCACCTGTGGAACATTCAGTTGATTGGACATAATTAGGAAAGGCATAAACCTGTCTATATAAGGTCCCACAGTTAACAGTGCATGTCAGAGCACAAACCAAGCCATGTAGTCCAAGGAGTTGTCCGTAGACCTCTGAGACAGGATTGTATCAAGGCACAGATCTGGGGAAGAGTACAGAAACATTTCTGCAGCATTGAAGGTCCCAATGAGCACAGTGGCCTCCATCATCC